TAAAGGGAAGTAACTCCACTCACCATCACTATGCAGCAGCTCGTCCATAGAGTTAATTCCCTTGGCCTTGGTGTAGATGACAGCCTCCGTGGCGTAGCCGGCAGTGTACAGGGCCAGCATCGTGATGTCCATGTAGTTCCACATCTGGGAGAAGTAGCCTCGAACCCCTTCCTCCCACAGCTGCTTGCACTCTGCCCAGAACATGCCTGAGGGGGGATAGGAAGAAAAAGGATGGCTGGGTAAGAAAAAGAGTGAGAGGAGGAGAAACGACGATAGAGTGAGGAAGGGAGAAGACGAGGGATGATACATATTGAGATTGGGAAGAGATGAGGAACCACAGAGTTTTTAGTTTTAGTAGAGGTTTTACGGCGCTTGCAACTGCATACGGTCATATGAGCGCCAGAAGATTAGAGGTGTTACACGAGAGTAATAAAGAAGAAGGGGAGATAAGGACGATAGATGTTGTACAGGAAAGAAGAAGCAAACCACATCAGAGCACCCGCCAACCACCCACAACGACAGAAGAAGAAAAGAAAGAGACGAGATGAAACTGAGTGAGGCAGGGGAAGAAACGGGTACGATTTAATTATATTATATAGAGAAGAATAACATATTTAAAATAAGACTCATTTGACCACTCCATTCTGAAAGCACAGATCATGAATACCAAACAAATGGCCACTTCTTAGGACATACAAGAAAATCAGAAAATAACTATCGTAACGACATAAACATGACTAGAGAAATGACCATGCACTCACCCAATACATATAGATGACCACACAAATGACCACCCACCTAAAACATCGAATATTCCTGCACACATTTTAATGACCACTCCCCTGAGATATAATACTGCTGCACAAGTGATAATTCATTTAAAACATAAATTTGTTACAAAAATGACCACCCACCTTAAACTTAGAACATGACTACATAGATGACCACACAAATGACCACTCACCTAGGACATAGAACATGACTACATAGATGACCACACAAATGACCACTCACCTAGGACATAGAACATGACTACATAGATGACCACACAAATGACCACTCACTTAAGACGAAGAACATGGCTACATAGATGACCACACAAATGACCACTCACTTAAGACATAGAACATGGCTACATAG